GAGGGGGGGGGGGTCACACGGAGAAAAATAATTTGGCTGTGTCAACTAAAATGGTTTCCAGTCTGCCCTCTGAGTTGCAAAAATGTTACGGCGTGCTGGCTGACACATCGGCGTACATACAGGGTGGGTGACATGGTATATTCGTCTCCAATTAGGCTGAGGGTATCGCGGGGATCCCGGCCACTAGATGACGGCGAAGCGGGTGGGTGCCCCTCAGCCCCCCCCCCCCCCCCAATAAGGCCGGGGACGGGGGTCCACGGGCCGAGTATTGAACGGTATCGCTGGGAGGCGAGGAGGCGCTGTCAGGCAGGCAGGCGCACCGCTCACCTTGCAGCGCATCGCGCAGGCTGACCTTGGCTGCGGCGGACTGAGACTGAAAATACGATGGCCGATTTCACAGCAACTCCAACGATCGTTGTCTCGCGTCGATTTTGGACGCTGCCCCTCTCCGCAACGCCCGTCTATGTATGGTCCACCACAGCGTCATGGGTGTATACCGGGTGCATCAGAGCGGACGCTGAAGTACTGCGGTTACGCCTAGCTACCCACTTCGCCCGTGAGGCGCCATGGCCCCCTGCTGCGCAAGAGGGTATGCAATCCCGCAACGCCTCAAGAGTCAGTTCTGATACACCCGGTATTTTAAGGAACTGTTAGGGTTTGGCAATGGGTGGGTGCGACGAGCTACCGGTTGTGCTCCGAGCCCGGCGTGGTCCGGGTGAGTCACACTCGAGTGTTCGGGAACCTGTTTACTGGCCCGCCGTGCCGCCCGTGCCTCCGCCTGTATTGGCCTGTATGCAGCAGCGCCGGTGTCGGTGCCGCCAGGACCAGGAAAAGCTACACTGCAGCGCACATAGCGCGACACATGTGCGACTTAGGTTGCTCGAACCTAGAAACTGTCCGACTTCAGACGCGCAGCCTGCACTGCCTCAAGCGTCCTGCCCAAGCAACCCTTGCATACCAAGTGGCTGATTAACCCCGCTCACTTCTGTAGCTATGCTGAACGGTACGCACGACACTGCGGCCGGGCTTATTGCCTATCGCCCCTGACTACGGCGCCTTACGAGCCGAGCGTGTGGGCAACCCGCCTGCACCCGTGCGTGCGGTACAGCATAGAGCTACAGAAGTGAGCACGGGGTTAATCAGCCACCTGGTACATGACAAGGGCTCACCAGAAAGGTGTCTAGAAGCAGTGCGCCTTAAGTCGAACAGGATCTTGTGGGTCGTGAAACTTCAGTCGCACAGTTGCTGGATTCGCAGTGTATACGCGACAGCCCCACAGTGTACTCGTGCTGCCCGTGAAAAGGCGGCAGTCACGTGGAGGAGCGAGTCGCAGCGCCACACAGGGTGCCAATCACACAAGCGGCTCTACAACAACGTTGATTCATCGCGCACGACTACGGCGAGCCGACTCGCACATCGACGGGGAGAGGAAAAAAAGGGCGAGGGAACATCGAAATTGCGACGCTCTTGGCCGTTTAGAGGCGGCTGGCGCGAGACACGTCTTGGAGCAGCTTCGCTCGCCCCGTGTTTGTTTACCTGTCTGCCAGGGAACATCGCAGCTGGCCAAGCCCCGCGCGCCCCCGGCAAGCGCCTACAGGGCGGAGAGGGGGAAGGGTATGTGCGCAGCCAGCGCGTAGGTACGTAAGTCTTCAACCCGTATTCTAACTCTGGCCTCATGAATGTTGCGCGCGTTCGCGAGGACAAAAAACTCATCGCCCCGCGACAACCCGAGGTGGGCAGAGAGGTGCGCGGCGAGGCGAGAGCGCCGGGCAAGATACCGGCCCGTCGGACAGGCGCGCGGAGCGGGTCGCCTATCGCGGAGCCCGCAGGCGCTAATCGTCGCGATCTGAGCTTGCCCTGCCAGGCTATATAGCCGAGGGCTGCGGCGGCAGGAGGAAAAAGAGTGTTGGGCGCGATTCTTTATCGGTGGCCGGAGCCGGAGGCCGGGAACGAGAGGCGTGCATACCAAAATACGCCGACAGTGACGTCAGAAGATAGGCTTCTGCACTCGCAAAACCGAATCTTTCTGCGAACGAAATCATGACTTTGCCGTGATCAATGAAAATTTTAGTCGAGGGAAGGAAAAGTTTCCTTTAGATGAAAAAAAAAATATGTTTAATTTAACGAAACTTCCGTTCTTTATAGAAAAATAATCGTCACTCGAACGAAAAATATGACTTCGATTCCTGGCACGAAATTTTCGTTTGCAGTAGTTAGTAAAATTTCTTTTCCTGGTATTCTTTTTCTGGGTGTGCCGTGCCTCGTCCCGAGCTACCCGAGTCGACGACCAGCTGCCCCGCTGCCGCCCGAATCACGTCAGCACCACGCCCCACTCCGGACAGCAACCACAACAAGGGGGGCACGACCATCGGCGCGGTGGGCGGGGTGGGGAATGGGGGACAATGGGAGAATGGTAATGGTGAATGGGAGTTTGGGTGACAGGAAGGAGACACGGGCCTGGCGCGGCGGCCGCACTGCGTGCCTCCCGATGCTAGGCGCTGCCGCCGCCGCCGCGCCGAGGTCGTCAGGCACCTGCATTAGGTATGCAGCACGGGCAGCCCGCTGGAGAACAGCGTGTCCAGTGCGTCCGGGCGGAGAGCGCCGCTGCTCTTCGAGCTCTTCCACAGAGGACGTCGCCCCTTCCCTCGGCGGATTACATCTTGTTGGCCGACTCGAAACCCCGCCGTCTCTGCGGGCGCGGGCGGCGGGGGCCAGTCTAATCCCACGCGATCCGGGGCGGCTCTGGAGCCGGGTGGGACGCGGAGTGAGTGTAAGGGGAAGCCCCAAGCCCGGGAGCGGAGAGAGAGAGAAAGAGATGCTCCCACAAGGTAGACACAGGTGACCCGGCAGCCCCGATCCGGAGGAGTGGCGGCGCGCGGGGCCGGCGGCAGCGCCGGCGCCGGCGTCCGAAGTGGGGCTGCATCCGGGTCGGCAGACCGCGATCCGGAGTCACGCGTCGTGGGAAACGCGACGGCGGGGAAGACGGACGGAAGCCGCGCCGTTGGCAGCCGCAATACTTTGACGCACAGATCCGGCCGGGTCGGGCGCACTTCGCACTCCTCCCCCGCCGCCCCGGCCGCCGCTCCGCGCGCGTGCCTGTCGCTACCGGTTGGCTAAACGCTCGCTTCCAGCGGGGCGCGGGGTGGGCGACACTCGGCGGCCTTCACTCACTCGCGCGGCATGCCAGGCACGCCACTACAACGGCCAGCACACAAACACACCGGGGAAACACGCTGGAAATGTCACCCCCTGCTCTCAGGTGCAACACTACACTCGGGGGGAATGCACGCCCAGCCACGCTCCACAAAGTCCCCTCTGCTTTGACGCGCAGCCCTGACTCGACCCTCGGCACTCACGTGTCGGAGGAAGGGGTTGAACTCTCCGTCTCCGTCGTCGGCGTCGTGAACTCCCTCACCAGGGAAGACAATGTCCCTTCGATCGCGGTCGGAGCGGCCTGGGGGACCGCAGGCGAGGACGGCGGCGCTGCAGGACAGCAGGATGGCGGCCAGCACCGCGAGCCGCGGGGCCGGGCGCGCCGGGGCCGGGCGAAGGAGATCCATAATGTGGTGGCCTCCGCGGCGCCGAGGAGGCGGCCAATACGTCGTGCACCCGAGAGGTCACCTACAGCGTGATCGTGGTTGTCCTTCTGCGGCCGAGTCCGAGTCGCGACTACGGGCAGGCGAGACGGGCACGGGCGGGCTTTGGCGCTCAGCTGTCTCTCTCTCTCTCTGAGGCCCTCCCCCTCCATGCGCGAGGCGCCGCGTCGCGGATCGACTGGCGGCCTGGCGGAGGAGGGCACGCGCACTGTTGTGAAACTGGCGCGTTTCTTAGGAGTCGAAGAATAGCTATAGTTCTTCGAATTTGAACGGTGCTTTCATGTTCCTCACGTATATGTAACACAGCCCGAAACTGTACTCATTTTCGAGAATAATTTAACTACATGCTACACGATTTGGTCGCATGTCACCGTCCCATGCCCAAAATGTAGTAAGTCAAACCGTTAAAGCTTTCACAACGCATCTCGTAAACAATAGCTCAACCAAATATTCCTAGCCCAATCTTAAGCATTTTCATTCGAGAGAACATACGCTGACGCAGAAATTCGCAGTTGACTTCTTACATTGTGTCCGGAGGTTGGAAGCACGATGGAACCGAATTGCGCGCCTTACCGACAGCGACATCTAGCGGATTCGTGTTGGTTTGTCTGCTGTATTTGGACTCGTAGAAGGCGCTGGTGCTTTTGGAAACAGGTGAAGGCGACGAAACTCGCGTGAGTTCATTTCGGCCAAACTTCTTTGGTTACTGTGAATCAACAACCATGTCTACACTCGCCGCTCCTTTGACCCTTATGGGCTCCAGGCAGTCCGGACAGCCAATTAGAACCCAAAATGGTAAGTTTTTCACGCATCCAACCATTTTAAATACCCGTTTTAATATACGATTATGTTCTTCATTGTCTATTTTTGCATTGTCGTACCACGCGGTGTGAAGCAGAAACCCCCTGCCGCTTATCAAAGTTGACTTATTTTGTGTCAAATTCCATTGATTTGGAAAATTTAATGTTCTTATTTTACATGAGACACAACCCATTCTTTGCCACCATGTTTTCTCTTAAGTTTTTATTTAAATCCAGTATGACAGGGAGGCCGGTTTTCCGGGCCTATCTTTTGGTACACATTCCAGATTAGCCGTTTCTTTTTCCTGTTCATAGTTTATATCTTGCAAATCAAGTTTACACTTGATTTATTCTCTCTTGAACTCGAAAATTTCGTCCTCATAATGTTTCTTGTAACCTGTCAAATTTTGTCTTTGTTACACTGGAATCCCTTAACCCCACTTTTGGAAAACACAAGGTTTTTTCTTGAGGTATTTCTAATAAAATATCAATTTTTTCTATCGCACTCTCCGCTCTTAGAGTTTTTCTTCAAGTAAATTTTCATTGGTGCCAATTTTAAGTGTCTTGACAGTTACTTTTAATATTCAGTGAAGTGTAGCAGATTTATAATTTGCAATTTTTCTATCTTTTTTTTTTAAAGTTTTGGCTGCTGCCTCTATTGCCAACATTGTCAAGAGCTCTCTTGGTCCAGTTGGTCTTGACAAAATGTTGGTTGATGATATTGGAGTAAGTAATAATTTAGAAACTAACTTTCTTAAAGTGGAATTGCTTATCTTGTCTATCTTGACTCTTTATGTTTCCTTTTGTTTTGTTTTTTAAAGGATGTGACTGTCACAAATGATGGTGCCACTATTTTACGCTTGCTAGAAGTTGAACACCCAGCAGCTCGCGTCCTAGTCGAGCTTGCCCAGCTCCAAGACGATGAAGTTGGTGATGGCACTACATCTGTGGTAAGCTATTTTCCTACCTACCATCAACTAAGGAATAATGTGGAATAAATTTTGTTTTGATTAATGTATCACCAACTTTATCATAATTCATTAAACAGGTTATTATTGCTGCTGAGCTTCTCAAAAATGCTGATGAACTTGTGAAGCAAAAGATTCATCCCACATCTATTATCAGTGGCTACCGTCTAGCGTGCAAGTATGTTATCTTTCATTCAAATTATTTTCCTATACATACCCTTATAAGCTTTACCAATTTTCCTATTATATTTTTTTCTCATTAGGGAGGCATGCAAATACATCCAAGAACATCTGACTGTGTCTGTAGATGAACTGGGCAGGGATTGCCTTGTTAATTCTGCCAAGACATCAATGTCAAGTAAACTCATTGGTGCAGACTCAGACTTTTTTGCCAACATGGTTGTTGATGCTGCTCAAGCTGTAAAAATCACTGATTCAAAAGGCAATTCTCTGTACCCCATTAAGGCTGTAAATGTTCTTAAAGCTCATGGCCGAAGTGCTAGGGAGAGTGTTCTCATCCAGGGTTACGCATTGAATTGTACAGTTGCCTCTCAGGGTGAGTTGATGATCAGAGATAACTATGTTTTTATATTTTTAACTTTTTAAATCTTAATTTTAATTATATTAAATTTTCAGCCATGCCGAAGAAGATTTTGAATGCCAAGGTTGCCTGTCTTGATTTTTCACTCCAGAAAACCAAAATGAAGTTGGGTGTTCAGGTATGAATCTCTGATTTTATTTTTAAAAATATTATTGGTTTATGTGAATGTGAAAAATAATTGTTGGCTTCTGGTAGGTTTTGGTCACAGACCCAGAAAAACTGGAGGCTATCAGGGACCGTGAAGCTGACATCACTAAGGAACGAGTTCAGAAGATTTTGGCTGCTGGTGCCAATGTTATTTTGTGCTCTGGTGGTATTGATGATCTTTGCCTGAAGGTATGTGCTTAATGCTTTTTTGAGTTTACCCTCTTAAGTTATCATCATTCTAAAAATATCCTTCTTGTTTCAGTATTTTGTTGAAGCTGGTGCCATGGCTGTCCGTAGAGTCAAGAAGTCAGATCTCAAGAGGATAGCAAAGGCTACTGGAGCTCATTTTTTGACCTCCCTCACCAACATGGATGGTTAGTATTCAAAATATTGAAAAGGAGAATTTGGTTTTATTCAGGTTAAGGTCTAAGGTCTAAAGTATCATTTCTTTGTTTTGTGCAGGTGAAGAAAGCTTTGAGGCCAGTTCTGTTGGTGAAGCTGCTGAAGTTGTTCAGGATATGATTTGCGACGATGAGCTTATTCTTATTAAAGGGTAAGTGCTCAGTCTCAGTTAGGCGTAATGTGTCCATTACCACAACCCTTATTTTTAACATTAATATTTCTGTTGTAGACCTAAAGCAAGGACAGCAAGCTCAATCATTCTGAGAGGTCCCAATGATTTCTATTGTGATGAAATGGAACGCTCTATTCACGATTCTTTATGTGTCGTTAAGAGGGTCCTGGAGAGCAAGGCAGTTGTAGCTGGTGGAGGAGCTGTTGAAGCAGCTTTGTCTATTTATCTTGAAAACTTTGCTACCTCTCTGGTAATTACTCTTTAATATTACCTTTGTTTTTGTTGAAGTGTTTAGTTGAGTGCGTTTGTCAGTTCTAAATGTTTTTGTAATTACAGAGCTCTCGGGAACAGTTGGCCATTGCTGAATTTGCCAAATCACTTCTTGTTATTCCTAAGACATTGTCTGTGAATGCTGCCCAAGATGCTACAGACCTTGTGGCCAAACTTCGGTCGTACCACAATTCATCTCAAACTAAAGTTGACCATGCTAACTTGAAATGGTATGCATTTTTTAACCAAGTTCTTTGAACTTTATAAGGTTTATCAGCATTTCTTAATAATTTTCTTTTTGTAGGATTGGTCTTGACCTAACAGAGGGAGTAGTAAGAGATAACCGCAAGGCTGGAGTACTGGAGCCAGCTATTTCCAAAATTAAGTCTCTTAAATTCGCTACTGAAGCTGCTATTACAATTCTCCGTATTGATGATATGATTAAGCTCCAGCCCACACCCAAGGAACAGCAATCATACAGACAAGCATATGAAGCTGGTGAACTTTAATTTTAAGAGAAACTGTCTTGTTTAAGAAACCCAGTGCTTTACCTGTGCCCTATTTAAATGCAGTGCTGAACAGTGGCTCTACTTAATGTGATTTCATTGGTTTTATATTTTTGTTAAAAAATGCCAATGTTATTTTGTCACATTTCTACTTCACATAGATTAATTCAACAAACGCTTTTATTCACTATTTCATTAACTTGTTATTTGATGTCATTCACTTTTGCATTAAATTAAACTTAAAATTACCCAAACTATAATTGCCTTATTTGCCTAAGTTTTAAATGAAGGAAATGAAACTTCATCCGATTACATATGACCCGGCTGATTCCATAGCTCATGTAGCAATAGTTAGTTAGAACCATCAAGTCCAGATCTGTCGTTGGTGTCACACTGGTGACCCTCTCGGCCCACGCGAACCACTTGTGCGCACGTGCCGAGGGGTAGTGGGCGGGCGGAAAGGCTCTCTGACCTTTCATTTCTCACACCCTCGCTCCGGGTCCGACTCCACCCCCGCCCCGCCGTGTGACGCAACGACAGACCTCGCCGCGTGGCCAACCCCTCCCGTCATTCTGCCAACCCTGGAGGGTGAAATCCCTCTCGCAGGGCGGTGGCTCGCCGCCCTACCGCGGACTTATCTACCGGACGCGGAAATATATCCGTCGTGGCCACATTGATCCTGCTACCCTGCTCCTGCAGACCACATGGCGCCGCGCCGGCCGGCGGGGGCGGCGGGCGGGAGGGGGCAGAGGGTGCGCGGGCCGCCCACCGGGCCGGAGCCTCAGCGGAGCGGTAGGGGGTGGTTCGCCCGCACCACGCTCAGCCACCACCTCGCTACGCCCGCGCACGCGCGCTTCAGGGGAGCAACTTAACCTGCGCCTCGCGTCCAGTGGCAGTTCACCACAGGAGCCCGCGGACGTACTGGTGGCGCACGCCTCGGGACGGCCGACGCGCAGGTTAGACCGGCGCCCATGTGCCCCGCTGTGCCCCCGCTCTACCCCCACGACGGCGACCTGGCCATGCGACCCGTCGGCCTTGTGCGCGGACCCCCTGTCTTCTGACAGAGTGACTGTCCTCAGCCTAAAGTGGGGCACGGCGCATCACTGCAGCGGAACAGCGCGGAGGCCGCCCGGACCCGACAGCACTTGAGGAGATCCTCACCGTCGCCATGGAGCAGCCGGGGCCACGCCGCTGAAAGCCGCCCCTGTGTTTGCCCGTGCCGACGCCTGTGAGAGGTGAGCGCCACAACTACCCGTCAGCGGCCCCGTCCCCGCCCACGCCTCCCAGTGCTCTGCCTCGACCCGACGTGACCCCTGTTCAATGTTATGGTGGTGTGCCACTCGGGGCAGCCACCGCTGTCTCCCGGTCCGACTCCTGTCCGTCTTCTACAGAGTCTCAACGGCAGTCTCTTCCATCCCCGTCAATCGATGACCTGAGAGGGTAAGTAGGGCATCCGAAGGGCAAGGACAGCCAGCGCCACCCATGGCGCTGGCGGCGACCTAGTAGCCGCGCACGGAGGGCACGGCAGCAAACCGACGACAGGCCGTCGAGAAGCACCCGGACGAGGGCGGCATCGTGGTAGAGTGTAGTAACGTACTACAGCCGGCGGCGCGGCTCGGTGCGGCTGAACGCGGGCAAGTCGCGCTCCGCTGCGCTGCGGCGTATCGCGCCCTGCGGCTGCCGATCAATAGGGGAGTCCTGCGCTGCACCGCCGCCCGCC